CACAGATAACATCATACTTAATGAGGAAAAACTGAAAGCTTCTCCTCCAAGACAAGGTACAAGATAAGGAGGTCTTCCCACTACTTTTATTCAACATTGTACTGGGAATCCTGGCTGTAACTATCAGATCAGAAAAAGAAATAAAAATCACCCAAAGTAGTATAGAAGAAACAAAACTATCAACTATTTGCAGATGAAATAAAACTTCATGTAAAGGACACTAAAGACTCCACCAAATAACTGTTAGAATGAATAAATGAATGGAGTAAAGTTTCAGGATACAAAATTAGCATACAGAAATTTGTTTTCTATATACTGACAACAAAGTAGTAGAAAGAGAAAGAAAGAAAACAGTCCCAGGGCACCTGGGTGGCTCAGTTAAATGTCTGACTTTGGTTCATGTCATGATCTCATGGCTCATGGGTTTGAGCCCCATATTGGGCTCTGTGCTGATGGCTCAGAGTCTGGAGCCTGCTTTGGATTCTGTCTCTCTCTCTTTGTCCCTCCCCTGCTCACACTCTCTCTCTCCTTAAAAAAATAAACATTAAAAAATTTTAAATAATAAAATACCTAGGAATAAACTTAACCAAGGAGGTGAAAGACTTACACTATGAAAACTTTAAGACATAGATGAAAGAAATTGAAGATGACAGAAACAAATGGAAAGACATTCCATGCTCATGGACTGAAGCAATCAATATTGTTAAAATGCCCATACTATACCCAAAGAAACTTACATATTCAAAGCAATCCCTATTAATATACCAACAGCATTTTTCACAGAACTAGAACAAATAATCCTAAAATTTGTATGGATCCACAAAAGACCTTGGATAACCAAAGCAATCTGGGGAAAGAACAAAGCTGAAAATATCACAATTCCAGATCAAGATATATTACAAAGCTATAGCAACTCAAACAACATGGAAATGTCACCAAAATAGATATATAGATCAATAGAAAAGAATAGAGTCCAGAAATAAATGACACTTATATGGCTAACTAATCTATGACAAAGAAGGCAATAACACAATGGAGAAAAGACAGGACTTCAGTAAATAGTGCTGGGAAAACTGGACAGTTACATGCAGAAGAATGAAACTGGACCACTTATACCATGCACAAAAATAAACTCAAAATGGATATAATACTTAAGTTGGAAACTGGAAACCATAAGCCCCCTGGAAGAAAACATAGTAATAATCTCTTGTATATCAGCCTTAGCAACATACTTGAGTATGTCTCCTGAGGCAAGGGAAACAAGAGCAAACATAAACTCTTGGGTCTGCATCAAATTCAAAAGTTTTTGCACAACAGGGGGAACCATCAACAAAACAAAATCAACCTACTGAATGGGAAAAGATAGTTGGAAATGATATATCCAACAACAGGTTAATATCCAAAATATGTAAAGAACTTATACAAGTCAACACACACACACACACACACACACACACACACACACACACACACTTACAAATAGTCCAATTAAAAGATGGGCAGAAAACCTTAACAGACATTTTTCCAAAGATACATAAGTGGCAAACAGATACATGAGAGATGCTGAACATCAGTCATCATCTGGGAAATACAAATCAAAATTACCATATTACCCCACACCAGTCAGAATGGAAAGTATCAAAAAGACAAGAAATAACAAATGTCAGCAATGATATGGAGAAAAGGGAACTCTTGTGCATTGTTGGTGGGAATATAAATTGGTGCAACCATGCCATAATATGGAGGTCTTTAAAAATTTTTAAATGAAAATACCATATGATCCAGTATAATTTCTGTACTGGATATTTAACCAAAGAAAACAAAAACTCTAATTTGAAAAGATATATGTACCTTCACATTTATTGCAATATTATTTATAATAGCCAAGATATGGACATGGTCTAAGTGTAAATAGATAGATGAATGAATAAAGAAGTTGCAATATATGAACCTACAAAGGAATATTACTCAGCCATAACAGAGAATGTGATATTGCCGTTTGTGACAACAGGGATGGACCTAGAGAGTATTATGCTAAGTGAAATAAGTCAAAGACAAATACCATATAATTTCACTTATATGTGGGCTCTAGAAAACAAAACAATGAACAACAACAAAAAAAAACCAGACTCCAATACAGAGAATGATCTGGTAGTTGAAGAGGCAAGAGGGGTGGGGAAATGGGCGAAATAGGCAAAGGGAATTAAGAGGTACAAATTTCTAGTTATAAAATAAAGCACAAAGATGAAAAGTACAGCAAAGTTATTATAATCAATAATACTGTGATGATGTTGTATGGCGACAGATGGTGACTATACTTATGTGCGACATTGTATTCCAAATATATTTCAATAATTTAAAAAGAAAAAACAAAACTTTAGACCCAGCTCTCAATCTCCCGTTCTTCCTCCATGATCTCTATGCCCAGGACACACTTGATGTTTGACATTCTTGGAATATATTACACTTCTTTACCTCTGTGTCTTTTGCCCTACACGTCCTTCCTCTTTCTTCACCCCCTTGTCTCTTTGAAGTGTTATCTGACTGTTCTACTGTAAGCCATGCCCCCAGCATCCTCACATACCTGTAAGTGAAACACCTATCTTGCTTTACAAGATTTGTGAGTTTGGGGGCTTTCTCCACTAAAAGACTGCAAAGCTCTTAAGGGGAATGACTGTTTTTCTTACATTTGCAGCATGCCTGATTCATATCAGTGCTTAATCAATGTTTAGAGAAGTTTTAGTAAATATTGAAGCAGGAACATCAGGAAGTGTTATATTTAAGATAATTTTCTATGTCACAAGCTGAATGAAAACATTTTTAAGACATCTATTTTGACATGTGTCTTTTCTTCTGCTGGAAAGATAATTCTTATCTTGGTCCTGTTAATTTAGCAAGTATTTCTTGAACATTTCTGAGTCTAAACCTTGTGATGTTGTGATCAAAGTTGAATAAAATTGTGTCCTCACCCTCACAATGAGCTTCTGAAGAATAACAGTTCATTAGGCTATGCTAAAATGAGTTCATGGGGTCAACCCTATGCTCAGACAGCAGAGCTGAGAAAAGGAGAAATTAATTATAATGTTAATTATGATTAGAGATTGGGTCTGGGAGGCTTCCTGATTTAGGTAGATAGTAGCTTACACTGACTTCTTAGATTTGAGTCATATTCTTTTACAGGCTTGGAAAGTCATAAGTCCTCTGAGAAATGGAAAATGGAAGTCCTCAATCCTGCATATAATCTTCTCTTCTCTTCCCAATTAAAGTGAAACACTTGAAAGCAGCCTTTAAGAGATTGCTTGAGAGGCAGGGTTTTTTAATCTTAACTCTGAAGCTCAGTATTTGGGATTTAGTCAGCGGTAGGAGATGGATTATTAAGACAGTGAGTGAATACTATGTAATGATTACTCTGTAAAAGTTAAATGCATAATGGAAAAGAGAAGAAATAAAGGTATTGATGAGAACATCATTTAAAGTCTCAAAGCCTTGGCATAAACTGCTTATATACTAAGTGGAGTCAGTTTCCAAGTGCTCTGACCTAGGTAGCAGGAAGGAGACCTGTGTGCCACAGCAAGAGATGTAATTTTCAAACGCTTTTGGAAGATAAGCAGAAACTGTGGGTGCCTTAAACAGGATATTTCAAATATCCAGGCTGGGAGCTGATTTGGAGGATGCTGAGGGTTGTTTTTTGACTTTAGTCAATCCCAGAAGATCTATCATGGATTCAATATGATAAATTATATGGTGCAATGGAAAAAGCATAGGCTTTTGAGTCTGGCAGACTTGGACTGGTTTCTAATGCTACCACTCTGTGCCATTAGGCAAGTTGCTCCATTTCCCTGAGGCTCAGTCACCTCATCCACACAATAAATATAAACTGTAATTCGCATGCTTTTGCCTCAGTGCTACTTACTGTGAGCTTAATGAGGGATGGTTGTTTTATTACGGTCCTATGGGCAGAGGCTAAGAGATTAACTTGGGCAAACATAGAAGGCACACACTAGCAACCTCATCATAAGGACAGTCATCATTTATTGACCAGTAACCATGTGCCAAACACTGTGTGCTTCATGTGTTTTATCTGAGGCTTTTAATCTGCGCTGTTGTAGGGCATGGCAGGAGGGAAATGAGCAGGAAAATGGCACTGAGTTCTCAGGCATGTGAAGAAGGCCTTGATCTTAAAAGAGACCCTGAATTTTCTCAGTCCCATGCTTTTGCTCAAATGGTTTTCTCTTAGGAAATCTTTCTCTACCTGTAAATATCCTACATGTGCTTCAAGGCACTACCTATATGGCACCTTATCCATATGATGGCTCCCTAAACATCCCCCATGAGTTAGCTGCCACTCCTGTGTTCTGGTAGCACCTGCCCATATAGCGATTTTATAGTTACTAGCTATGGTGTAATTGTTTAAGTTGCCCATGTCCTATGTCCCAATAGCTTCATGGGAGGAAGAAATGTCTTATTCATGTTTGTATCCTCAGTATTCTGCACAGAGCTTGACACACAGTAAGTGAAAAGTATATATTGATTTTTAAAATATATAAATTTGCTTTGGAAGCATTTCTACCTATCATGTTAGTGCCCTTTCCCTCGTGGCATAAACAGCCCAGCATCAACACAGACCTCTGTCTTCAGTTCCACTTGCAAAGAATCAACTATTAGCAAGAGATAAACATGTTCCCTCTGTGTGTAAACAAATGACAAGGGTTGCTGGAGTTTATGCAATAGTATTTTGTTGCATTATTTAAATAACAACTGGACAAGCAGGTGATAATTTAAGTGAATGTAAATGAAGTCTGGATGCCCTAAGGTCTTCATTTCCACAATGATTTCCTATATGAAGCTAAATTCATGTAGGTATCCACTGGATTTCAGTGACCAACCAGGGAAGACCATCAGGGAGCTCTCCAGAGAAGATAACTCTCAGCCTTGGGACTGGAGCAAAGTTAATTTCTCTTTTAACAAACTGACAGCTTCCTCCCTCTTCTGTTTTCTAGTGCCTCCTTCAGATCTGGCTGCTCCACACTGACCCACCAATGTTTGTATCCTCAGAAAAGGAAACTGAAGCAGACCAAAGACCCAGCATCAGAGGAAACTCAATTCCAAGATGCCTGCTGTGCGGTGGCCTTGCTTTCCCCATAATGTCAAAATAAATATAAAAGAATTACCTCAAAATGAAGGGCATCACAGTCAAGGGTTAACTCTGTATTCTGAATGCTCCTATATCTGTTTCACAGATAAGGAGTGAAAACCCCATGAAAGGCAGTTCTCACCAAGGCTTACAAGTTACGATCTGAAACCAAGGTAGCCTCATTAGCTTACTGAACAATTACCGTATACTAGTGGTTATAATTTATTTATCTCATTAATTCTCATGACAGTGAGATAAGTGCTATGATGATGGCTCCTTCACAGAGGGAGATAAAATTTTCCTTTCTCTTAAATAGGATCTTGTCTTGGGTTCCCTAGACTTTAGAATTTCACAGGGTAGTAAAACATCCCAATAAAATTTGAGGTTGTTAATTTTAATAAAAGTGGATACTTTCTTCAAAGCAGCAAGTGCTATCTATAATTAGCATCATTTAATTAAAATGGGCATTTGCTACCATAAAAGAACATATTTAAGAAAGAATAAAGAGAGTCCTTCCACCGAGTGCATCTTTCTGTGTGGAAAACATGCAGACTCTAATATCCAGCAATTCTACCTCCAGGTTTTTATCTGAGAATGACTATTGTCAATATACCCCAGGTGATATGTGCAGAAATGATAAGGCAGCCTTCGTCATACTAGAAGTATCTGGGAAATAATACAGATGACCATCTACAGGAGAATAATAACGAATTAAACATGTGAAATATTTAACATAGTTAAATAATACACAACAGTTAGGATAAGTGAACAGCTGCACGTAAAAAATATGAATCTTAATAAAAGATATACTTTTAGGGATTCCATAGAAGTGTTTATGCATATATCTATGTATATAATTGTTTATTTTATTATTTTTAATGTTATTTTTAAGAGAGAGAGAGTGTACAAACAAGGGAGGGGCAGAGAGAGAGAGAGAGGCAGAATCCGAAGCAGGCTATGGGCTCTGAGCTCTCAGCACAGAGCCTGACCCACGAGGCTCAAACCCACGAGCCTCGAGATCATGACCTGGGTGGAAGTTGATGCTTAACCCACTAAGTCACCCAGGTGCCCATATATAATTGTTTAAAGGGTAAAATATCACAAGTAAAGGGAGGCATGGGAATGAGTTGAGTGGGAATTACATATACAAATAAAAGTTATGGTCCATGTTCTAGTTTCCATGTTGGGTAGGAGATATACATTTATTTATTGAATTCAATTATTTCAAACAAGCAAGCGAAGAAAGAAAGAAGGGTTATGCATGGATGTATGATAGGAATATGTCACAAGAATTCTAATTATTAAAATAATAATATTAATCCATCATTGTCACCTGAGATCCAAAGGCAAACTGAACACAAGACCACAAATCCCTCAGTGTATTTTTTTTTCATTTTCCTAAGGACCAGTTTTATATTATGGATTAGCATTAGGCAGTATGTGAATCCACTTATGGAATAGTAATGTAGCCCAACCAACTTAATTTTCCAAGAGATTAAGACTGTAAAGAGAACCCTAGAATTTGGATAATACCAAAACCTCTAATAGGGAGTTTGGATAACAAAGGACAGAGACAAAGGAAAACTCTGCTAAATGCACAAAGGACAGGCAAGAGATGACCAGACTTAGAAATGTTCAAATAGCATAAAGGTGACAGCCAGAGACACTGGGTAGGAAATAAACGAAGGGACAGCTGGAAAGAACATAATCATCTATTAACAGTACTGCCACTAAAATTACTTATTAATTTACATCTCTTTCCTCTCTGAAATAGGAAATTTACTCTAATATAGAAGGAAGACAATGGGGAGCTATAGTTCTCATGGACTTCCCCTAGCACTGTAGCAGATAAAGTTTCCACTTATTCTACTTACTGGCAGGACTTGTATGGGGAGACCTGCCAAAGTTATAATCCAGTTTACAAAATGCTATAATAATTAGTTTAACTGCCTTTTCAGTGATTGATCTCAACTTATCACTACCCAATTTCAACCTCATCATCAGCCTTCATAGATTGTAGGATAGAGTTGAAGCTCCTGTAGGGCATTCTATGATGCGGCCTTGTCTACCTGCCCAACTTTATCCACCTCTTTCACAGGCACCTTATCCCAGTTTCCTTGAATTGACTGCTGTCTCTTGACTGCATCATGTACTCTCACTCTTTGCACATTTTGCTGCTGGTAGGCTGTTTCCTCCATTATTATCTAAGTAATCCTGACAGTCCTCCAGTATATCCAGCTCAGGCATCCCATCTCCAGGAAACCTTCCTTAACCACCCAGGCAGAAAGGCTGTCCTCTAAGCACCTCTATCATATTTATGGTAACCATGGCTTACATTTTGGCATCTGCTCCACACTTAGTGTTTTTTGAGGGAGATATTTATGTTGTTCAGTACCTTTTGGGAATGAGGGAAGGTGTACACACAATTGTGTGGTCATTTTATGTCTCTACTGCCAGTATGAAGCCAATGTGTATGTTGTTCAGTAAACATTTGCCAAATGGATGGAATGTCGAAGATAATTCTATAGCCAAAAGTAACATGCAGTAAGTAAAATGGGGTTTACTTTAATCTGGACATTGGCAGATTTGGTATTTAATTCAGTTAGTGGGTGGGTTCAGAGAGGGCCTAGCTATCTGTACAAGAGGGAGGCTATGGAAGGGATTTAAGCATCAAATTTTTAATGGAAGGTTGTACTCTGCCAATGTTCTCTAGCTGTCCTGACTCAGGGTTTCTAGGACCTTTTGACAGTGCCTTTCATCATTTGGTTCTGAGCTAATCTGGCATGTGGTACAAGATAGGCTTCTAGACCCTGATGCACAGGTATACCCACTGTAGCTCAATCTCAGAAGGGCAGTTTGGCTGCATATACTAAGTGTGCACACAGAGATTGCTGGATCTCCCTTTCAGATGTAAAGGGACTTGTCACTAAATAACATATCTTTTCAATAGACAGAAATTTGAAGCATCCTATTTGAGTTTCTTCTGGGGAACAGTTGCAACAGTACCTCTAAAATGCCAGTGAATCATCTCTGACTAGAGCCTAAATTTGTAAGATGAAGCCATCTGTATTGCACTGGGAAAATATCATGTGGCATAATTAATTCTTTGGATGTGATGATTACTTAGGATCACAGAAATATGGTGTTACAAGGGCCCTCGGGACCTTATCAAAAATTCCCAGATTCCTCCATAGACCTGTATTTAAACTTACCAAAAGCATAATTACACTGTTCTTTAGATTATCTAGTCACAACTTAAATATTGCCACTAATAAGCTTATGAAATTAGACAGATAACTTAATCTCTCTAGGCCTCAGTGTATCATTTTTAAAAGCGGGGGCAGGAACACATTTCTTTTTCCAAACAGACACTGTGATGCGAGTGTCTGTATACAGCCCCTTCACAGTTATTGGAAAATAGAGGATTACCTAAGGTAGATAGCATTCCAATTTTGTATTGTTTAAAATATGGAATCTGCTATTTTCTTGCATGCTTCTGCCTCTGATTTTGCTAGGAAAAAACACCACAAAATTTGACATTAAAGTCACAGTCACTAGAACTGGCAATGGCCTAACTACGTCCTAGTTTCAATAGTCATTGCATTACCAGCCCCACTGAGACGTGATCTGGTGTAGACACTACAAGATTTGAGCCATAAAATAGGATAAGGATAGAAATCAGATGATCACCATCTGTGAGACTCTAGGTAAGTCACAGCATTGTTTATCATCTGGACTTCACATCTAATAATAGCTTTCTGACAGAGCATCTTATCTTGGTTCCCCACGATGCAGGCTCTGAAACAAAGGCTTTTGTGGGAGTACCCTACTGGGGGGTGTGTGATTCCAGTAACACACATGGGGGACAGGGGAACAAAGCAGGAAAGGAGCCAGAACACATAGAGGAATATATTATTATATTAACAACATGTAATCTATATTAATAATGCCATATATTAATAATTATATAATTAATATATAATACATATAATATAATCATATATAGTAATAATATATATGAATATATATAATATTAATTATAATTATTATAATTATTATATAATAATGTAATATACTATTGGCTGTTTGATCCAAGAACATCTGAGGAGCAGTACAAAATATGCCTCAGTGATGTCTTTCAGGAGGAGTAAGGAGAAAGCATTTGTCCATTGGCTTCTATCTCCCATTGGTAAAATATTAACTTTGTAGGTTAACTGTTCCATACTTCTGATGTGCACATGTGTGGACACATCACATGCAGGTGATTTGCCTTCCACTGTGGGGCAAAGCAAGGGGTAAGTAGCAGGAGCCTGGTGAGTCAGTTTGTAACTGTATGAAGTTGGTTGGAACCTGTATCACACTGGTCAAAGCAACCATGGCTGTAATAAGAGGTGTAGCTGAGAAGATTTGTAACAGTGCATTAGAGGTATTTTCTAGATTTCTTGCCCACTCTTGATCCACCTGTGCTCTCAACCAGTCTACTGTGGATGTCCCTTCTAGATGGTTAGCAGCCACAATCTCTGCAAAGACAATGAAAGGAGCAGGGGAACAAAATAAGCTATGATCCCCATGGCCACAGCTGCTCACATAGCTATAATTAGTATCCTCATCCTCTCCTCTACCAGCCACTCTACAAATTGCTAACCCTTGGTCAGCACTTGAGTTGGTCTGGGTCATTTGTCTGGTGGGATAACCCACATCTATATTCCAAGTAATCTGATTTCTTCATCACTTTGCCTTTGTTAGGACTTCTTTCCAACACGTGTCTATTTATCCTTGAGAAAAAAACAATAGACACCTCAGTAAACCTCCTGGACTTCAGATCTACTCATTCTTGCTCCCATTCCATTTTGTGGCAGCAGTTCCATCATCATGGTTGTCAGAGTCAGTTACTCCCAATATGAGTTATTTTCTTTGCCTGCTGGTTTAGGGATTTTGAGAGCCTCACGATGTCATCACAATTTCAAGTTGAAAGGAATCCTTACAGTTTCTTTAGTAGAAATTTCACCCACTGAAAACCTGGCCTCAAACATAGCAGACCAAAGATTTTAGA